TTTTTTTGGACGAATTTAAATCGCAATAGGATCCACCCACCAGTCATTATTATTTTAATCGATCAAAAAAGAAAGAAATATTATTCTTATATGTGAAATTGTTGTAAACAACGGCTGCTGGAAGATCCTAATGCGATCAGGATTATGAACAACAATGGTGTATGACATCGCTGAGGAAGTTAGGATTATTTTTTTCTTTTTTTTTAAAGATAGCAAGTTTATGTCGCGACATAATTATTTATGTTAATTTTCTTTTTTTTTTTTTTTTGTCTTCTTTTGTCGATTTTTTCTTTTTCCTTTTTAAAAGAAATTCTCTCACATCACCTAAATAAAAGGATAAGCAAACACGCACGATAAAACTTAATAATAATGTGGATAAATAAATTATACGGGATTTGTGTGGCAGTAATGAACATAACAATGCTGCGTCAAAATGTTTGTTCAGAAAAATAACAATTAACATTGCATGTTGAATCGTTCCTTGCGGAATTATATTTAAAACAATATAATATCTTAAATAAATCATGGTAAATAATATTCAAGTCGAAGTACATATAAAAGAAAAAAAAGAAAAAAAAAAAAAAGGAAAAAAAACGTCGTATTTTTATATACATAACATTTAACAATTCGCATTTGATAACATTAGTTGAAATTTGTTTAGTCTTAAAAAATATGCGACATACATTCATACATGTGTATATATATATATATATATATATGTATATACACATACATAAATATTACAATTTTTTTATCATAATAATAATAAAAAGAATTGAAATTTGATGCCAATAACTAATCCATACGAGAATACATTGGTGTATTACGTGAATGAAATGAATATTAATTGTAAGGATGATTGTGAAAAAAAATAATATTCAGGACTTAGAGAGGGCATATATATATATATATATATGTATATGTATATACATGTAGTATTCATTAAGCTAAGTAAAAAATGCTTAGTTCAGATAAATTACAAAATGAAACTAGATACAATATAGACCAGTTCGCAATATTAAAAACAACGTTTCTTTTTAGTGCAGTTTTACGTTGCATTAAACAATAAAATAATACTAATCAAATATTTGTAATCTATATGAGCTAAGATTATTACAGGAATGATGTAAATCGCATTTGCTTTTTACACTTTTATTGATGAAAATTGCACTTAAGAGTTTATTTAAATCGAAATTATTAAAAAAAAGGAAAAAAAATATATATATCTGTGTTTCCATAAGAATTAATTCTTGACTTACATCATTCTTCTGCAACAGCAACTTAGAGGATTATGCATTGAACGAATTCTAATTCGCACATATTTTCCTGGCAGCACCTTTTATAAATTTACATTCCCCCATTAACCAAAATAAAAAAAGAAAAAAATAATAGAAAATAATAGGAAATGAAAATTAAAAATAAACATAAAAAATATATAGTAAATGAGAAAAAGTTATATTATACGTAAATGAGTATTTTTAAAACCACTTAGAAAAATGCATCGTGCAAAACAAATATTTTATCTTTTTTTTTCTCTCTCTCTCTCTCTCTCTCTCTCTCTCTCTCTCTCTCTTTCTCTCAGCAAATTAATTACAGAATTACTAAAAAATATTGTAAATTTATTTTCTCAGTGCTGGAGGTTTCTTTCCTTTTTTTTTTTTTTTTTTTTTTTTTTTTTTTTTTTTTTTATATTATTATAGAATGAAACTAAACATCGAATTGGATCATTGTCTTTTTTTTTTTTTTTCTACGCGAGATTAATAATACACGCTTGAGTAAAAATAAAAGCAATACGGACATGAGATCATATTTTGCTTTACTACAAAGCAATTAACTATAATAAGTAAAAGACGATAAAAATTTGTACACATTGTTATTGAAACATTGGAAGAGAAAACATTCGGTTAGAAGATTGATTAAAAGGCCAGCACTCTAATTAAAACTCGATAAGATAGAAATCATCTTTCTTGGACAAGACAATCTAGATAAGTATTTATTTAAAAAAAATTGACAATCTTCTTTGTTCGATTTATCCAAGAAAATAATCTAAGTTATTTAGCAATGTGACGCTAGATATATATTTCATTGAAATATTTGTACGCAAGAAAAGAAGAAGAAGAAGAAAAAAAAAACAAAAATCGATAATACATTTTATCCTGGATTATTCTGTCCCTTATCTTTATACATGTTTATCCTTTTTTTTTTATACACATTTCTCCTCCCTCTCTCTCTCTCTCTCTTTATCTCCCCCTTTCCCTTTCTCTCTTTAACTGCTAAAATTTGTATACTAATAAATATTACCTTTTTTTTCTTTTTTTGTATTATTATTATTTGACTTTAGACCAATATAGGAAATTGATTTGGCACAATATGCAACCCACTCAAGTACAAAACTGGATAAAGAGAATTATCGTTCTATCTACAATGTGTTCTGTTTTCTTAACGCGAACTACTCCACACTCGCTTGCAATAATTTAGAATTTAATATTCACACATATATATCTTAGGATAAAAACGGGAAAGTACAAACAGTCATTTTGTACTATTATATACGTTCCCATTTCATTATTTTGCAGACCGTGATTACTCTTCCATTCTCTAGCTCAAATGAAAATATACAATTTATCCTCTTGTTTGTCATGATTTTTTTTTGATTCCTATCGATATTCATTAAAACTTTTGCTTTTAACATAAATACATGTTGTATTTATAAATTACGTTTTAATACACGTTCAAAGCACTCGTGGCAAACCTGTGTTTCTCTCGGTGTCGAAATTATCTACTTATTTCAATTAGTTAAGATTTGCATTTATATATATATATATATATATATAAAAAAAGAAAATTCTTTTTTTATTTTAACAGTAATAATAATAATTATAATAATAATAATAATAATAATAATATTGATGATGATAATAACGACAATGACAATTACGACGATGACGACGAAGATGACGACGACGACGGTAAAAATGATGGTGATGGTGATGATGACAACGATGTTGATGACAATGATGATGACACAATGATGGTAATAATAGTAAATGTGATATTAAAAATCCTCTATTTTTATCCAGTTTATGTTGGAAGTCATGATATATTTATCTTTATGATATACTATTGCCGTTAATGTGTTTGATGAATATAAAAGATACGAAATTTAAATGAACCATGAATATTCGTTTCGAGTAAACGCAGTTAAACCACATTTGGTTGGTAACAAAGGTGCTAAATTAATTCATTGATTGCATACGTTATCAATCATAAAATAAACACGTTATCAATCATATTGTATCTTTCACGATAAAAGCAAACGAATGTTATTTAACAATACTATATATACAAGATTATACATCGTTGATTGGGACTATAGCGAATAAACGAGTATGCACACGCGTTATTTAAAACCAAATAACTTTTTAACGCGGATAATACTTGTTTAAATCGCTAAGTAAATAATAAAAAATTCGAGAAACAACAATTTAAGAAGAATTATTCTAGAAGAAACTCTGTCTCTTGTTTGGTAAACCGATCCCGCATGGAATATTTATATACGGATTTTTCAAAATGAATATTACTTACCGACAAATTCTTTTTAGAGACAATAATACAAAAATGAATTTCTTTTCTTGATTAAAACGATCTCTCTTCTCGGTCATTTTTCTCGTAGCAAAGGTTTTTAACAACGTTTTTCGATTATCTTCATTAAACGACAAAATGAACTTTGATAATATACAAAATTCATCATGTGACACACAACTACTATTAATGGATTATAGATCGTGTGTGTGTGTGGCATTGACATTTGCACTATGTCACAATTAATAAGATTAATCGATTGTCCTGCCAATGAATACAGGCAAGATCACAGAAACGATTCTAAGGCTCGTAGTCGCGTTGCAAACATTGCATTTTGTCTACTTTCTTCGGTTTACCGCTAAATACAAGTTGATTCAGGATGTTGGCTTGCCGATTTTCTTGTTTTCTTCGGTTCCTTCGTAGTTAATTCTTGGGAAGGTCTTCGAGGACTACCCAATGTGACTAAGGCTGAGGCTACCGCTAAGCCAGCACTTTGTCCAGCTGGTGTAAACGGTTCACCACCGGTAGGCAATCTGACTAGCAAGGATAAAACCGCTGCTCTGTTACCACAACAGGGCTCTAGGGCGATTGGACTAGGTGCATCCTAAATATATTATACATTTCGTTAAAATTTGATACACTTTTGTTATTCTTTTTATATTTAATTATTAGAAGAAGAAGAAGAAGAAGAAGAAAAATAAAAAAGTAGTATTACTACAGACCTTTTTCTTTTTTCGACTATTATTATATTCGCTGTCACATCTGTCAGCATCGTTGTCAACGACATCTCGCCTCTCGATTTCTACGAGTACTTGACTGAACGCCCTGTTGGCCATTTGTTGCATCTCTACGAAAAGTCTTTGTCTTCTTCTATACATATCATATTTTTGTTTGATCTTCCATAAAATCGCTGCTACTAGAAGGAGGGCAAGGAAACACCTGTGTGGTGGCATATAATCTCTAGTTTACAAGTAAATACTGCCTGAGATTTAAAATAGTAAAAAGTATATAGTCAATTTGAAGAAAATAAATGTTAAAAAAAAAAAATTCCCAATAACTTTACACACTTATATCATTAACGTGTATTCATTTTTATTACGTGCGTTATTTATTCGATGAACTTAGATTATTTTAGATCTGGATACTCACGTGCAAAAAGTTATGAAGAATTGTTGCAGATTTAATTTAGAATATTGAGAAAATGAAATCTGAATCCACAATGGTGGCTGAAAGTCATAAACGTATACATAAAACGTCGTTAAAGTATTGTTCTCCTCGCTACCAAAATTGTAGTCAGCTTTGCTAAAGCGATGCTTATACATGCTTGTCGTACAATTGGCACCCAAAAGTAATGGCTTCTCTAAACTGTTTGGTCTTTTAATAGTAACGTTCATTTTAGCGAGAACTGAACAAGTTATAGAAAATTCGGCATCGATATCAGCTTTAGGTGGTGAATTTTTAAAATTGATCGCTCTGTAATGACGATCTTCTTTTTTACTTAAATTAAAGGTAAATTGATAATCGATAACCAAGTCGTCTGTAAGGAATATTAAAATCAATTTAAAATCATTAGCATGTAAATGAGAAATAAAGCCAATATTACTTACAGAAACAAGATCCTTTGTTCGCAGGATCACCATAATAAAGACCTGTTACATCGCATCGTTCGCAATGATCCCCAACGATGCCTTTAGTTGTGCAAAAACATTTGCCAGTCTCGCTGGAACACTGGGTCCCTTGATTATTGCAAGAGCATGCTAAAATATAATCAAAAAATACATTCTGAATTAGATTTTGCATAGTTCTTAAATTCTTATAACATTATTTACCGGCAGTGAATTATTAATGTTGACAGTGTATTAGGCTATTAATTGGCTGCCAGTAAGTTATGTGTTAAGAATTTTTCGTATATCTTACGTTGACACGTTGCTCCGTTCAAAGGACTTCCATAATAGCCAGGAATACATTTATCACAATTCTGTCCAGAAGTTAAATTTCCACACGGTTGAATACAAACGCTGCTATTTGGAAGACACTTACTATGACCATTGCATTGACAAGCTAAAGTAAAATAAATATAATTTAATTTATTAAAAAAAAAAAAAGAAAACAAAAAAATCGTTTCAACAATAATCAAAGAATATAAATAAAAATGATCAAACTCACTGGGACACGTGGTAAAGTACCAATGATCAAGCGAACACGTTTCTAAACTCCTACTGCTTGGACCACGAGCACCACCAGGCAAACAATGTCCTTTTCCTGTACCAGATCCATCGTCACACCATCCACAACCAGGATCCGATCTACACGCCGAACAAGATAGATAAAAGCTACACCATTCCTTTCCATTTCCAGTAGCACGACACCTTGCCTCGATCGTTGTCCATGCACGACATTGACCATAAGGAAAACTAGCGGGATATGCATTTTTATCGACACACTTAGCTTCATTCTGACACCAAATACAATCTGATTCTGTACAATTCCTACAGGAAGTATATTCCGCGCACGGACTTCGACAAGTTTCCATTGTTAAACGTTGAGCTTGAATGGTACCATTTAAATTGATTATCTAAAAAAAAAAAAAAAAAAGACAAATCACATAATCGTACTACTTGTATCATGAATTAAAAAGGCTCGCGAATTTTCGAAAAGAAAATATTTATCTCACCTCGCGTGTTTTAGATTGCGGCTTGCAACGGTCTGGACCATTTGACCAAGACCAAATGCAACGCGGATTGCTCGAACATGCGTGACACGTATGCAATTGCAAACACTCGATTCCAGTATGCGCATCGCATTTTTCTAAATCCTTGATAACCTCGGTTGCCGGTGAATTAGCGTTATCACGACATATTTCGTATGAACAACTTTTACCACACCAAACACAATTGTACGACGTTTGCACGCAAGCAACGCAGTCGGTTAATAGCTTGCACAATTCTTTATGCGAAGTCAATCCTCGTGGTGGCAAGTCGTCCAAACATTTCATGTATTTTCCATCATGCATATCGTCTTCGAGTAACGCATGCCGCGGTATTTTCGTTATTGCAATACACAAACCGCTATGTTTGTCCCACACACACTTTACACCTATCCTCGCGTTCAAACAATCATTTTGTTTTTTTAAGAATTCACAGTGTCCCCGTGTATACCTGTGTGTGTGAGATCGAATAAATTGTAATTATTTGTAAGGATTTTTTTTGTCGATAAATTTAACAATAAGATTTAGATGATAATAATAATACCTCAACATGTCGGATAACATTTGACCGTCGAATCCACCATAAATATACATAGAATCTTCGAAAACTGTTGCACTATGCCCATATCTCGGCAGGTCGGTCATTTCCCTTGGTATAAAATAATGTTGCCACGTGTCACACGTAACATCGTAAGCGATGGTATCTGCGGAATAACACCTAGCCCCGTGCGAGTGCTGAGTATCGTTATGCATATTCCCACCAAATACGAGCATTAAACCGGCAGAAATAAAGATACCGGTGTGAAAGAATCTTGCTGATGGTGCGGCTGTTAACAACCTCCATTCTCGGTATTTTGGATGATAGGAGTAAAGTCTATTGGTCAAAACCTGAGTACTTTGTGACTCGGACACGTAGCCACCATAGACATATATTAAATGTGTCAAAGGATCGTAAGATGAACTATGACCGTATCCCCCTTTTACGGGGAAACCTATTGTCTCAACAATTTGCCATTCCCGAGTTCCCAAGTAATATTCCTGGACGGTATTCAAGTAACCATACTGTGGTGAATATCCAAATATCACAACCATTTTCTCTTTTTCCCCATAAGTTTGAACGAGTGTCGCTGTATGCCCGGCTACCTGTACAAAATTACGTTAGAGAGTATATTTAACATCTTTGTTAGAAATGAAAAATAGGATGAAATATTTTCAGTTTAAAAGTTAGTTTCAATAATTCATTTTACCTTTAACGGTCCGCACATTGTTTTATTCCGACAATGATCGTGAACGGTAACATTTTCCCAAACTTTAGCTGACACGTCGAATGCCCAGATCTCGTTGGTTACGGTAGAATTTTGCACAACACCGCCATACATAAATATCTTGTCTCCAAATAATACGCATGAGTGTGCATATCGAGGTGCAGGTAGCTTACCCTCTACGTGAGGAGTTTCCCAAACATTACCATTGTAATCGTAAACGTAAATCATCTTGGCACGATGAAAACTTTCACCGCCAACCACGTAAAGTGAATCTTTCCAAACGATAGAACAGTGACTGGCTGAACCTTCTGGTGAAAAGTCCTTGTAAGTAATGCTCTCCCAAAATCCATGTTCTCCCTTTTGATTGCAGTCCATTCCTTGAAAATTACGTTTATATATCAAATAAAATTGTCTAACGATAAGATACAAATAAAAAAAATAAAATAAGAGATCGATAATTTACCTTTATAATCATGTTTACATTCACAACGACGTTTTAAGTGATTGCATTCGCCGTGATCACGATGATAGAAACAATTATTTGGACAAATTGGTACGTCGCATGCTTTTCCAGTCCATGGGTCCTTGCATACACACGTACCCTCTACACATTCACCGTGATCAGAACAATCAGCATAGGAATACCTGTCGGATTTAACAAAACTTAACACATATCACTACATAAGTAAACCATAAAGAGCTGTCGCGATTAACTATATAACATATACAAGAAAATATTTCAATTATTCTTTTTGTATTATATTTTTGTATATCTAACAAATATATTTTAACTATTTACAATCTTTAAAATAATACTACGGTGTAATTATTATAACACAATTAGACTAGTTAACTGTAAATTTGTTCCTTCTTTGCGTATAGGATAGAAAAATCTGTTCATCAAACATCTGAACTAATTATTAAGTTTATTAATTTGCATAGTGTATCTTCCTGATAAATTCCCCACCCTAGAACCGTGCAGAATTGAAGAAAAAAATGTTCCCCATGAATAATTTAGGTCTTACTTACCTAGTCGGGCATGCATTAATCTTGTATGTGATATTAAATCCACTCATATTATAGGCAACATCCGAATAAAAGTGTAACAAGGCGCTACCAGATCGTGCTATTACTTCGGGCACACGGCGTATATGATAACCGTCTTTGTGCATGAGACCACTGAATATTGCAAGTAAAGGTGCCTCGACACTGTCACCGTCGTAAATGTACAGGTGATCCCAACCGCATTCCGTTGCAAAAAGTTCCACGTGCATGCGTATCGTGGAATTTGGACTGCTCTCGATCAACCAAGAACACCTCACGTCTGCCGTGTAATTCCCAATACCATCGTGAATGCTTCCACTTGGTTCCGTCAATCTACGATCAAACAGAAAAGTATTTTTTTTAAACAAAATGACAAGGAAACAAAATATTAAATCATTTTTTTTAAAATAACAACCCATTCTTTTCGATTTTTGTACACATACATATAAGAGACAAAAACAATTATGTTAGATAGAAACTTAATAATTATTACTAAGTAAAATTATACATTAAAATTATATATTATTACTAAGTAAAATAAAAATTATATATTATTACTAAGTAAAATAAAAATTTTACCCCAATATTTTCAAATTCTTAGGGTCTTATCGTCTAATAAATTTATTAAAGCATTTTAACTTTAAATTTAAATTCAAATTAAATAAATTAGAGACAGTTTATATTTTATCAATTCTTTCATTCAAGTTTTCAATTAAAAAACTATTGATTTTGCTACCTTTGT